AAACGTCGCCAAGATATTCTCAATCTTACACGGGAAAAGACCCGAACACACCAAGACCTGCATATATATGTTTATATAAAGTTATATATATATAACATTATTTTAAATATATTCAAATTTCAAAATATTCATAAGAATAGATATACATAAATATATGTACATATAGGTTCCATATAAATATATTAATTTTCAGGAGCCTCAAGCATTATACAATGAAATAAAGATCATCCCAATATGCAAACTTGATTGTTCGGTGTCTGAAACAAATCTGGAAAAACACATTGAAGAGGAAATGACTCGGTAAGTTTGTTTAGCTAATAAATTATTTTATCAATTTAGAAATAAAAAGTAAACACAAATATAAATATTAGCCTGTCACCCAATTAAACATTACATTAAAAATTGATTCATTAAAATTAATTGACTTAAGTGCACAGTTTGATGATATCTGAAATAATACTTTTGAGGGGAGAATGTATTTTCTCCCACGTAGTGCACATTTTATTTCTTGAAGCAAGCACCATTTTACATGACATTTCTTGAATTTTGGTAAATAATTCTTGCTAAGATTACGTATTCTCCTATGAGCTGCTCCGAGCATCCAGTAGTGGGAGGTGCTTCAGTCTCCGCATTCATAGGCTGAGCTTTAATTGAGGAACGCTCCTCCTCCTCCACGTGACACCTCCATGCGTTCCCCAGTTTTTGCTCAGCCTCGTGCGAGACAGGCAGTGTTTCCTTTAGCTCCTTGGCCGAATCAGGACTTCAATTCACAATTCAATTTTGAGTTTCAGCAGGTTTGATTCTTTCACTCCTCTCTTTAGCCTCTGCGCAATTGCATAATTCAACAGACTATTTAACAAGGGGAAGCGCCGTTGCGCCCTCGAGGAAGGCGGGAGGCTCAGTAGCGGCTTCGCACTACCTCCCATAGCTGGAACGTTTTTCCTTATTGTTTGCCGCTTCGTTTTCGTTTCGTTTCATTTTCTCTAGCGGCTTGTGTTCCTAGCTCAGAGTCGTATCGCCATTTCCCCCCCTTTTCGAACGCCGTTCTAAGTGGGGAAGGGCTAATCCTCCCTTCCCTGGCCGCCTCTGCATTCAGAGCTTCGGTTTTGTTCTTCCTGGTGGGAAGCCGCCGCTGAGAAGCGCGGCAATTACCTATTGCTGGCGGGCGCCATCTTGAGCGCCACCTCGTGGCTGCGCATCATTTTTTTCTTGTAATTTCTGTGCTGTGTGTGGAAGTAGACTCGAAGCAGCAGGATCCCGCCTGGATTCTGAGAGTCATTTAACCTCATTTTGGCTAGATTGCACTTGAGGCTATTTTCTTCTCCTTAAGGCTTGTTGGCTTAACCCTCACAGCTTAATCCTCAGCGGCACAGCAGCAAGCATCCAGGCATGTGTCCGCCTGTGCAGGTAAGCTGCTGAAGGCCCCATTTTTCTCTTCTAACTGGGCCTTAGGCGTTTCGAAATTTGGCTGATTGGTTTGATTGCTCTCTCATTAATATTGAGATTATATACCTCAACCATTCGAATTTACAACGCCACATGGTCCATTTTCTGCAAATGGTGTAGTAGATTTCAAGTTGATCCTGTTTCCCCATCTGTCGCTCAGATTTTAGAGTTCCTACAGGAGGGACTTGATAAGGGGCTGTCACCTAACACGCTGAAAAGGCAGGTCGTTGCCTTGACATCAGTTCTTTCTTCCAAGGGCCTCAGTTCTCTCTCGCATCACCCACATATAAGGTCCTTTCTTAGAGGGGCCACCAATTTACGTCCTCCAGCAGTGCACCGTTACCCCACCTGGGACCTTAACAAGGTCCTTGTCTCTCTCATCAAAGAGCCTTTCGAACCCCTGAGGAAGTCAAGTCTCCAATTCCTGACATACAAGGTAGTTTTTCTTGTAGCAATCACCTCCGCTCGTCGCATATCGGAAATCGCAGCCTTGTCTGTCAGACAAGACCTCTGTGTGTTTCATGCCGATCGAGTGGTCCTTCATCCTGATCCCACATTTATGCCCAAAGTCAATTCGGCTTTCCATAGAGCACAAGAACTCATTCTTCCAAATTTTTGTCCCAGGCCATCACAGGCAATGGAAAGACAATGGCATGAGCTTGATGTAAGGCGCGCACTGCAAATCTATATCAAGCGTACAGAGTCTTTCAGGAAATCGGAGGCCTTATTTGTGTCCTTTCAGCCCAATACACAGGGTCACAAGGTATCACCATCTACGATAGGCCGTTGGATACGGGCGGCAATAGCTAAATCATATCAGTCTCAATCTCTGCAGGTGCCTAAGGGCATAACAGCTCATTCAACTAGGAGCGCAGCAACCTCAGCAGCTTGGGCCATTCAGGCACCAATAACTGAAATCTGTCGGGCGGCGACTTGGGCTTCCCCATCATCCTTCATTAGACATTATAAAATTGATGTGTTTGCCTCTGCGGAGGCCTCTTTTGGCAGAAGAGTTCTGCAACAGGTCCACAGGGACCAGGAGGAGATTCCAGACCAGACGGAGTCCCTCCCATAGGACAGGCCAAGCTTTGGTATGTCCCACTACTGGATGCTCGGAGCAGCTCATAGGAGAAGGGGCGTTGGTACTTACCTGATACGCCCGTTCTCTTTGAGCTGCGAAGAGCATCCAGCCCCACCCCTTTCCGTCTGGGGGGGTCCTGTTTCGGCCAACGAACCTTTTTAGATCTTGAGGATGAGAGCACTTATTTCTCTCGTCTTCGCAAAATCTGGGGAACGCATGGAGGAGTCACGTGGAGGAGGAGGAGCGTTCCTCAATTAAAGCTCAGCCTATGAATGCGGAGACTGAAGCACCTCCCACTACTGGATGCTCTTCGCAGCTCAAAGAGAACGGGCATATCAGGTAAGTACCAACGCCCCTTTTGTACAATTGGTAGTAGGTTAATATTAATAATTAATTAATACATATAAAGACTAAACTAAAGACTCCTTTGAGTCAAGCTCAATTCCTTGTGATTGTACAAAGATGTCTATTAGCATTATTTGACAATAAAAGATAAGTAGCTTACCATTGCCTCTTAAGATTTTTTTTCCCAACTTCCCAGTCTTGCCTCTAACCCTGAAATTTTCCCGAGGCCTTCTCATCCAATCTTTCTCACTTTAGTCTATTTGAGTTAAGCTAGAGGTGACACATTGCTATATCTTGCAGTGGCTAAACAAATTACTATATTCTTGGGATTTTTTAAAGAAGAAAATTGCCTAAGTAATTAGATGCATTTTTATTGTCTTGATAATTTAATTCATCAGTGTTTTACTTGGTTTGTTTATTTATGTATGCAATTTATATAAATAATTATTTCACCAAAGTGGACACTTAACACTTCTTTTCTTACTAGATTTCCTGATAGTCTGTCAGTAACATGGCCTAAAGGAAATGAATTACTTTCAGGTGACGTTAAGTGTGCAGGATTTACAATAGGTTAGTATTAATTTCAGAGATAGCTTATTTCAACCTATTTCTCATAAATATGTGGATTGATTATTATTTCAGATAGTAATTTAAAATCTGATTCAATTTTTTTTTTCATGTTTGTTGGTTGCTCTGTTTTTTTCCCTTAGGAGATCTACAAATTGAAATACTGAATAAAAAAGGCAAGCCTATCCAAACCCTTCCAGGATCAAAGAAATTACTTGTACAACTTAAGGTTGTTTTGCACTGTAAGCAAGTTGTATTTTTCCTATATTATTAATGATAATAATACAATATTATTAATGTATTAGTATATATTAAAGTAAGATACTCAAATTGTGGCCACTCTTTCTTCTACGACAGTAAACCTCATGGGCAAAACATCTTGAATTTTGATTATTATTTTTTTTAAAAAAACAAGTTTTATTAATTTTTAAAACACACAAATTATCATTATTCATTACATGTTTAAACCTTTTTCCATTGTAAATTTAACAAGTCAGATAAATTATGATTCTGTTTTAAACCATTTCCATATAATATACCAAAACCTCTTATTCAATTTCTCTTTACTTCTCTTTACTCTTATTCAATATCATTATTATTATTTCATCTGTTTCTTTCTGACTTAGTTACCATTATTCTCATTCTATATTTCTACAAGTTTTTACCAATTCTCCCCCCAAAAAAGACATATACACACAACACACAAAACATAAAAAAAAATCTTTTTGGAAAGTAACTTGGACCCAGGTGTCTCTCTCTTCATGGACTTCAATTATATTCATGCTCATCTTACATATCATTACTTATTTTATTTACCATTCTAAACCTTCTATATTAACTTCTCCACATATTTCACACTTCTTAATTCTACCTTAATTAATCATCTTAGTTTAAATCATTATATTTGTATCTTTTGTCCATTTTTTATCATCCCTTTGTCTCATCCCTTATGAAAAAAAAGAAAATCAGTTTCTCCTGAAATCATTAATCAGAGTATGATGCCTTTCTATCTCCCCCCTAAGTTAATCAAATTAATCTTTAAAATAATATCTAATACCCAATCAGATTTTGCTTGGTACATTCTATCTAACTAATACATCCAACACAATTAAGTGCATAATTAGACAATAAATCCAAATATTAAAAAGAAATACTATAATAAAAATTTTATAATAACATCAATACCATAATTTTATTAAACTCTTTAATTAAAACAATATTCTAAACCTCTCCTATTATTAAGTTTTAAAGCCAATCATTTTTAAACATTTTAACATTTTAATCTCTTATCAACTCTTAAACCATTGCAATACTACCATCTCATCTTATGTACCTTGCAAAATCTTTTTTTTTTTAAAAAAAATTATACTTTATCCATTATCCATAAAAAATTCCTTTTTTCCATTTAATTTCAAAACATTGTAGCTTTTCTCCACCTTTTCCCTTTCTTTCTTTTCCCAACAAAC